ACAAAACATTTATTGTATTAAATAAAACTTTATTAGTTTTGTATAATTTCATTATACTTAACTGTATAAATAAAGTTGCAACGTTTAACAAAGATAAAGATACTTTGCTTCCGTTTTCCATCCGTCGTTTGCTCCAGTAGACAATTCACAATTTCACAAGCAAGGTCGCCTCCCTGTTTGTGAAGTGGATTGTCTACAGCAGTGGTTCTCAACTGGTGGTACATGTACCCCTAGGAGTACTAGCGTAAATCGAAGGGGTACATCTAATTTTCATTATAAAATGGCGTATATTAATCAATTTGCTGTAAATTATTAACACAAGAAACAACAAAAACTTGCTTTAAAATACCCCAGTGTGAACACCAATTTCCCTTTTAACAGTCTGAACAACTTGTTTGTCCATTTGATTTGTCTGTCTATTTCTGCCGTTAGTGCTGCGTGAACCTGTAGTCTAGTAAAATTACGGTTTAACCGAGCATTAATTTTAGAATAGAAAAAAAAATATATTTTTTCTATTCTATAATAATTATTACTTTTCATCCCCTTTTCTATCTCGCTTTACTTTTTCCCTTCGCCTCTTCCCTTAATTACCTTTTCTCTACTCTTCTTCATACTTGCGCAATACCAATGAGTAGTCCCGTGTCTTCATCCCCTTTATGCTAAATATTGTATAATTATTGCTCGATAAGATTGGGGCTTTTCGTGTTTTTACTGGACTACTGGTATTAGGAATAATGAGGCCTGGATCGTACCCCCACCATGAAATACGTGTCACTACATGCGCACATTACTTGATATTTAGCAAATTTATACGTTACATTTGTTACAAAAATTGAAAGATTCATGTATTGTTCTGCGCATTATAAATTCGCAGCCATTACTTTCATTGTCAGTACACAATTATAATCTCTATTTAACAACGTGGGAACCACGAAAAAATTGCTGAAGATTTATTGCAACAAATATCCCATTAAATTTTGTTAGAAATTATTATAGAATAATTTAAATTTTCTTTATTGTTAATTATAATTATTTATTTTTAGGAAATGTAATTTATGCATGTATTGAAATGACTTCTGTGATTTTATATAATATACTTGTCAAATAATAATTAATAAATGTATGTACCTGATTAAATTTATTATTATTTACATAAAATAAGTAATTCATTTTTAGTTATAGTTAGTTAGTTAGTTTTTTTTATGGCGCTCAGTTGTAAGGGCTGTATACATCTAACGCAGTGATTATAAAATTTACATACCAAAATATAAGAAGTGCTTGAGAAACAACTAATGGGCTAATGGGGTACATCAACAAAAAAGGTTGAGAACCACTGGTCTACAGGAGCGAACAACGGATGGAAAACGGAAGCAAAGTATCTTTATCTTTGTTTAACGTTGCAACTTTATTTATACAGTTAAGTGTAATGAAATTAAATGTATTACTGTCGGCCATGTTTTTATATATTTTTTATTTTACTTAAAGTTTTGTTTGTTCAATATTTCTACAGTAGACCCCCTATAAGACGGGTTCCTATAATTACGATTCCTATAAGACGGCGAAAAAATTGCGACAGTATCCGTAAAAAACGGTAAAAAAAACTTTTATAATTACGTAAAACGTCATCGGGCAGCCGAACTACTTTCCGCCGTCAAGCGCCACGCTACGAAGAGATTACTATTGTCTGTACAGTATTATATATAAATTAGGTACTGTACATATAATTATATATTAATTATATATAAATTAGGTACTGTATATATAATTATATATTAACTTAATTTATTGTAACTTTATTATAATTAAATATATATTTTTCGCCGTCTAGCGTCACGCTACGGCGAGTTAGGCGACCTATCGTCTGTTTAGTACTGTAATTTTATACATTTCTTGTGAAAGAAACATTTCTTATTTAACGGCCATAAAAATTATTTATATTAATGATGTCTCCAAAGGTCAACGAAGTTTTCGCAGAAAAATAATATCNACAGTACTGTAATTTTATACATTTCGTGTGAAAGAAACATTCCTTATTCAACGGCGATTAAAATTATTTATATTAATGATGTCTCCAAAGTTCAACGAAGTTTTCGCAGAAAAATAACATCAGAAATCGCGGCCGCGGTTTGCTGAGCTGTTCCGCGACGAAAACAAGCTTGAGCAACGGCGATGTCGAATGGTGTACACTCGGTAAGTAATCCTACAATTTTTTGTTTATAGCGTAGTTTATACGAATTATTTCCAAAAAATATATACGTATTTTGAAAATGTTGAGTTGAATTAGTCTAGAATCGATTAATTTTATGGAAGAAAACTTTTCAAACAGCCGTAGTCCGTAAAGTGCATACGTGTCGGGCTGTGATTGGCAAGGACTCGTAAGAAATCGATTCATAAAGGACGGAACGTATCTACCGTCTTATAGAGGGTCGACTGTATTTGCAATGAACGATAGTTTTACTAAAACGTAGCATGTTCGATGCTCGTTTAATTCTTTAGTACTTTTTAGTACTAAAACAAGAATTAAACGAGTATCGAACTTGTTACGTTTTAGTAACTTTAGATCTGGCAACACTAGACATTTGTTGAGTTCGCACCGTTACTACCAATTATTAGTTGACTTTGATGCATGAATGGCAGCATTATCCTGTTGGAATTGCCAATTTTCTCTCCCAATAAGTGATCGAAAAGTTATTAAATTTTGATACAACAGTTCTTGATACAATGGAAACAGGGGGCCTTAAAACTGAAAACAAAAGCCGCAGTCGCTAAGTCTCTAAGTTCAAAAAATGAATCGCCTCGCCTGCGAATGACTCGCTCGGCCGGATAGCCAAGCGGTGAAGGTGGCATCCTACCGCTCTGGGGGACCCGGGATCGAATAATCCCCAGAATTTTTTGGGGGTCCGTCCGGATATGTCGGGCCCTGTACCTTACCACCCGGTCACCCCATTGTGGGCCTGGCAGTACCCATAATTGGCTTGCAAAAAAGAGGTCCTCTTAATGCCCACAAGACGAAAAGAGTTAAAAAAAAAAAAAAAAAGAATGACTCGCTTTGATTTAGAGAAAATTGATACAGATACAACGAATGTCTATATATATATTTCAAACTTATCTCATTAGTAAAAGTGCATAGTTGCAAAATAATTCATTTTTATTGTTTGGGCTACAAACAGTTCAAATCCGCTACTTTTGGAGCACAATCACGCTACTTTTTAACCCTCAGATCTGACAACGCTGTATGCGGCTAGAAATCGTATAGTGTGACCGGGGCTTTATGGGAGCCTGATATAAGTTTTCCTCTATTCCCACACGACAAACAGATGATTATTCGGAAATCGGTCGGTTATATTTATGAGCTTTTCCGAATTCTGAAAGAGTGGATTAAACTGTTAAGAATTGGCAGTTTCCCGATTGTCCAGCTTTACATGAACAAGTTAATTTTAAGTTTAAAATGCCAGTAATTTTGTGTGGGACACAGGGTCGGAGTTAAGCATTTCGAAGCCCTAAGCTGAACTCTGTAAGGCCCTTTACCAACCCTTCACAGTTTTAGAAGTCAATCATAAAAGGAAAAGAATTAAATCAGACTATGACTCTTGATTTAATACGAATATTGTAAGAAAAAGAAGTGAAGTTTCACTAGTTTTCCGTTTTATAACTGAATTTAATTAAATTTTTATACCCATTCCATTAAAAATCTTTTTAAAATTGGTTTTATCAATTATTTTTTAAAAGATCTTATGTTAATTCTTAGAAAAAAAATTAATGAAATACAGTACTACACAAAATAAATAGTAAAGTATATTTTGTTGGTTTGTAAAAAACTGTTTATTACAAAATTTGACTTCAATTTTCTTTTTTGTACAAATGTTTGAGGCCCTAAGCAACAACTTACATAGCTTTTGTAAATCCGGCCCTGACAGGACAATGTCAAAGCTGATGTTTTTTTTAACACTTTGTCATTCAATCCTACTGATGTTTAGAACTAACATTAAGCAGTCAAACATGAACAGTAACAAAAAAACTTTATTAAAAAGGTTAGAACTGTCACCGACATCCTCGGGCAACACCCGGACAAATCCCACGAACTTTCGCGCCTTTCTTTTCGACGTTGCCAGCCACTCTTGTTGGCAAGTGTTGCCAGACAGTGTTCGGGATCTCTGGAGCTGGCGGCCACAACACAAAGGGCACAAATATGTATAGAACGATCTCGCTCATTTGTTTCGATACCACATAATGACGTGTCCTGTTAGCAATAATTGTTCTCCTTCTATAAAATTTCTCGATAAACAGCTACAAGCAGCATATATCATTACATCGGACAGTGATATACAATTAATTTTACATTACTATTTACAAGCGACACAGATAACGTAGCCATTTTGTAAAAATGCAGCGCCCTCTATAGTTCATGAAAAACGAGAGATCCTAAGCATTTCTAAACATTGCTGTTCAACGATACTGACAGCAGTGGATCAGCGAAAAGAGCGCTATATAATCATTGTTTTGCCTTTTTTAGCAAAACGAAATGATCATACATATTCTCGTTTAGTACATTGGAAAAAATTGGTCCAATTTAGACATCACGATTGATGATTACGCAGTTACATTTATAAATATTCCTGTAATTTGCGTAGAATCATAGCAGTAAAATTTTTAAACACCCACGTATTTGATGAGAGGGAGAAAGGGGTTATCCTCGGTTTGGATATTTTTTTCTACTGATCAGGGGTATGAAAGGTAAAGGAAAATCTCCCATTTTTCTTCAAATTACATCCTGATTAGACTTTTTCTGCCTTCTCGCCATTATGATTCGCGACAAAAAAGTTAAAGAAATTCAGTATTACGTAATAAAAATAATAATTATGGAATTCGTGTAATCTCTATTATCATCTTATCAGTATTAATATTTTAGTTATTTAAATTATATTTGTTTTTAAAATTTATTTTAAAAAGTAAAAATTACAATTTTTTTCGAAATATATTTTATATATAAATCATTCCAGATGGCAGCACTATCATACCTATAAAATCGGTTGCAAGAAGTTGAAGTAATACTTATATTGTGCATAACTATTTGGATTTATTTAAATGATATTCACTCAGTAATTTTTATAATTCGAACAACTTTATAAAGCTTTACTTCGTCGGTCATGAATCAAGGCAGCGATTGTGTCACCTTGATTATCAAGAAAGACGATCATTTTGTACTAGTGCAATCGAAAAATTACAAGGGATGGTGGTTTCCCTTTAAAGAAATCACGCCGCAAGAAAACTGGTACATAGCAGCAACAAAATTAGCTACTACACTCTTGGGAACTTGCTTTACAGTCCAAGGTATATTTTCTATAAACAGGATGCAACTACGCCCCAGTGATAAAGCATACATTAATGTGATCTATATAATCGAGTTAGATACTACACTGGAAAATATAATGGACATCTGTGACGAAAGTATCCGTTGGTTTACCTTGAAGGATATTGAACTCTTAGCCAAAGAAGAGACTGGACTCAAGGGTTATGAACCGGTTGAGCTAATGCAATTACTTCAGAAAGATCCTACTGTTTTAAAAAACAATCTTGTTAAAGAAATTGGAATCAATGGACAATTGCCATCAAAATCCCATTTGTCAAAATCACATCACGAATTATTTGAATCTGCTGGTTTTGGCATTCAGGAACAAAAGTTTCTCTTTAGTGATTTTTTACAATGTTGTTATCCGTCACATACGATGAACAAAATTTTGTTTAAAGAATTTATGTTATCTCTAGGTTGGAAAGAAGACGATTCTTTAGATAGTATTTTTCGTGCTTTCGATATTGCTAATAAAGGACTTCTCTGCTTCAACGATGTCCTGATGGGATTGGCTGCCATGGAACCTTCCACTCAACATGGCGGTCCTCCTGCAGAAATCCGTTGCCGTTATATTTTTAGATTTTATGACTCTGATAGAGATGATAAATTAGATTACTCTGAATATTTCCAAATGGTCAGCGATATTCAACGATTAAAGGGACTTCCGGTGGATGAAGATAGTTTAAAAGAAAGTGCAGAAAATGGAATGAAAGTTTTCGGGATTGAAAAAAGTAAAACGCTTCTTTTAAATGTTTTTTTATCCGCAGTCGGACAGCTTAAGTTTCGAGGAACCTCGTTACTTTTTCGCTTTCCGACAGCCATTATTCCTACCGTGAGAAACAAGAGACACCTCGATGGTGAACGTACAAAATGCAAACGTCCAAAGTTAAGTGATAGCATAAAACCAACAAATAAAACAGATTATTTCAAGTTTGACAATTTGGAACAATATTGTGATTCTGCCATTAAAGGAAACGATTGTTACGAATTGGCAACACATTCTGTAAAAGTTCGTCGCACTGGCACACTTATCGATGTCTCTTCCTTATGGGAACTGGAAGGAACTGCTGCAATGTCAAAAGATGCAAGAATCAGTGAACAACTTAGATTTGAAAGATTGTCATCTGTGGATTCTTTTAATCAAAAATCTCATGCCAATGAAATGTTAACTGGTCTGAGATATTTTGAGCGACCGGTTAAGAGGGAAAGTGCTACAAATGGTGCCAAAATAATTGAAAAAAAAGCATTAGACTGGGGTAAAGTTGATCACAAAGCTCTTGCTCATTGTCTTTTAATCATATGTCAACAAGCTCAACAAGTAATGGCTAAAGAACCAAGACTTTTATGTTTGAATTCTCCCACATACATTCTTGGAGATATCCATGGGAATTTTCATGATTTGATATGCTTTGAGAAAGCATTGTGGAGAATGGGTCCATTATTAACACCAAGTAATTTTTTATTTCTAGGAGATTATATAGATAGGGGTGAATATGGTGTTGAAGTGATTGCTTATTTATTTGCGCAGAAGATTTTAGCACCAGATAAATTTTTCCTGCTGAGAGGAAACCATGAAATACGCAGTATACAGAAAATGTTCAGTTTTTATTCAGAATGCATTAAGAAATTTGGAGAAGTTCTAGGAAAGGAAATCTGGGAATCAGTCAATGAATGTTTTGATGTTATGCCTATTGCTGCAGTTGTTGATGGAAAAGTATTCTGTGCACATGGGGGAATTCAACCTCCTTGGCTTGGAAATGGTTTAATTTCTTCAATAAATGATATTCCAATTCCACTTCCTAATCCAGAAAAAGAAAGTCCTCTAGCTTGGGAATTAATGTGGAGTGATCCAATTCGTGTAGATTGTATCTCAGAGAAAAAGAAAGAAGAAATGTTAGAAAATGATGGCTTTATAGAAAATATGAACAGAGGTACAGCTCACATGTTTAGTGCAGAAGCATTGGAAACATTTCTTGATAAAAATAGTCTCTCTCATGTTGTACGAGCACATGAAGTTCAACAAGCTGGATTTCAAGTACAACTCAAAGGAAAATTATTAACTGTATTCTCATCATCTCATTATTGTGGTGGTTCTAATGAAGCAGCATGTGTTTTGGCAGACAGATTAAAATTACGGACCATTTGTTTGGATACCACTTAAGTCCTCTAAGTAATATTCTTTAAAAGAATATATTGATTTTTAATGTTGTCATCATCATCATAGTTGTTCTAATTAATGTTATTGAGAGATTTTAAAGTATCATTATCATACTGGTAAAAATGCTTCAATGATATGATTAATGTTATCAGACTTATTATTTAACATAAAATTACATCATAATTGCAGAATATGTATTTCTTAAATGATTCAATATTTTTTTCTAGTCTTAAAGCTATTATTTGAGAGTATATACATAAAATTTCTGGGATCATTTTTGATGACAACTGAATTTCTATTCCAGTTTTCTTCATTTCAGTATCATATTAGAAATTCATTTAAATCTCATTTTATTATCTGTGGAGAGTTATTCTTATCTGATGTATAATATTAGAAAGTTGTGTAGATACAATTCAACAAAGATAGAAAGATTTTAAAAAACAGTTTGATTTTATATTTGTTGTAAAATGATTCATTCTGTGATATGTAATTATTAGTATTTAATATCAATTTCAAAATATTTGTTGAATGTGACTATGTTTCTATCATTAACATAAACAAATATTAAGCAGAAATATATATTCTGAAAAATTTAAATGAAATGCATAAAAGTTGCTTTTATAAAATTTTATAAGGGACCAAGTTACCTAAAGTGGAAAAAAAATTCTAGTCATTATATGCATTATGATTCTTTTAAAATTTAATTATATCCTTGATAGTTAACTATTGATACTAATGTTTGGAAATTTTCAAAATAAAACATTTCCGTCCACTTTCTTCTCGCTTACTTACAGTCAACTTTCATCATGCATATCATAATACAAAAGATCATCTTCATTACTATAAGTCTTGTATAAAATCTTGTTCCTAAATATTTTTTATATATTTTTATTAGATAAAAAAAAAAAAAGGTAAGATACAATAATCAAGTTATGAAAAACTTATCTTAGTAACATATATATTTATCTTATACATACCAAAAGTATTTTTACTTAATTTAGAGCAATGACAATATGATATGAAAAGAACATTTACTGTGATCTTGCTTAACATAAAACAAATTAATGTATCATATATAATTAGTGTCTATATTGACATTATGTTCCTAATGATGACAATTTCTTTTCAAATGTTTCAATCCATCTAGTTAATATTAAAAAAGAATTAAACTAATGACTGTTCCAGCATATTTTACATTAAAATTATCTCTAAGTGTTCTTGTCAAAAATATAGTTTGCTAGCTTTTCTGTACAATAATATGGTTCTATAGTTGTGTGTATGTTAGTTAAGACAATCCATAGTGCAGTTAATCATCAAAGAGCATATTCTTAAAATTTAAAACTTTTGTGTATAATTTCATGTGATAACTTTTGGTTTTTAATGTTTATAATGTAAATATATGTTTATTCAATCATATCCAAATATTACAATCAATATTATGAATGTAATATAAATGTTTTTAGAAATTTAGAATATTATATTACCTTAATATGTTAACACAGAAAAAAATTGACAATTTAATATTAAAAATCATTTTTTGTATTATTTGTAATTATTTTTCAAAGTTCTCTTTAAGTTATTGTCTTAAAAAACTACTGTACACACAAAAATGTATTACAAATGTAATAAAATATATGTATAGGAAAATCTCTCTAAAGTTGTAATAAAATCTTTATAGTAAGAAAAATATAAAAAAAATTAAGATTTTTGAATTAAGTTTTCCAAATTGGATTTAGTAATATTTCTAATGACTTATAAGTTGTTAACATGGCAAGAAAAGAATTGAAGACAAGTGGAGGAAGGTGTTATGTTACAAGATCAAAGTTTTGAGTGAATTGAAGTTCACGTTTTTATTATGTAATTATTTCAGTGTAAATATATCTACAAAACAGTGTTTTCGTTGGATATTACAGTACAGTGGATAAAGAAAATTTCGCGAAAGATTTTTATGTTTAGACAACAAACACATTTGGATAACAAACACAAGAAGTGACATAAAATAATGAATACCAATTGGTCTTCCCTTGTCTTCAGACAACAATTTGAAACTTTTTGGAGCACGGAAGACATCAACATCGACACTCAACCCGGTATATACTGATCGAATAGTATTTTTCCAAACTTTGAAACTCTCCCTTGTAATTCCAGCCTTTTATTTTTGACAGAAACAATTCTTGTTTGTAGAATTTCGCCGGATGAAAATTTATTTTAATCACAAAAGACACAGTCTGTCCAAAAATTATTTTTTGAAACCACCATTTATTCTGATCATGTGTTCCAGAACACCTTCAACAACCCAACATTTCTGTCCAAAAATTATTTTTTGAAACCACCATTTATTCTGATCATGTGTTCCAGAACACCTTCAACAACCCAACATTTCTTTGTAGGCTACTAGGTCGTCAGGCTAAAACATTCTTTAAAAAAACACAAAAATATCCAATTAAAACATTAAAAGTAAAAAATTGGAACTGGCAGCCTTACAGACGTCTTGAACTTGCATCCTTTCCAGTTAGGGAATTTTGGTCTTTATATTCACTTGATAAATGCGCTGTTAAATGTAAATTTTGGCCTTATCCCTCTGGTGACGAATTAAAAAAAAAAAGTCTTGTTTGTAGAAGGTGTTCTGGAACAAAGGGTTGTTGAAGGTGTTCTGGAACACATGATCAGAATAAATGGTGGTTTCAAAAAATAATTTTTGGACAGAAATGTTGGGTTGTTGAAGGTGTTCTGGAACACATGATCAGAATAAATGGTGGTTTCAAAAAATAATTTTTGGACAGACTGTCTTTTGTGATTAAAATAAATTTTCATCCGGCGAAATTCTACAAACAAGACTTTTTTTTTTAATTCGTCACCAGAGGGATAAGGCCAAAATCTACATTTAACAGCGCATTTATCAAGTGAATATAAAGACCAAAATTCCCTAACTGGAAAGGATGCAAGTTCAAGACGTCTGTAAGGCCACCAGTTCCAATTTTTTACTTTTAATGTTTTAATTGGATATTTTTGTGTGTTTTTTTAAAGAATGTTTTAGCCTGACGACCTAGTAGCCTACAAAGAAAGGTCGGGTTGTCGAAGGTGTTCTGGAACACATGATCAGAATAAATGGTGGTTTCAAAAAATAATTTTTGGACAGACTGTGTCTTTTGTGATTAAATTAAAAGAAACAATTCTTTTATAGTGTTTGCGAGACTGTCGGGCAGACACTCGTTAAATTTTGCATCGGTTTTTATTTTCAAAAGATGAGAGTATAATAGCAAAGGTAGAAAGTGGGCAGATGTCTGATGTTGCTGGGCAGTATGGCTTGAACAGGTCTACAGTAGGCCACAGTTCATTCTTATCTAAGAAAGATACAGTATAATCAAGAAGACTCAAGCAACTAAAGGAGTAACAATAATCACACCTGAGAAATAAAGAACATTGAAGAGCTTATAATGGAACCTGAAATGGATCTGAAGACAGGAAGACACCAAGAACTCTTGAATGAAGAAAACATATCTTGCTGAGTTTTTTGGTATTTTTCTGAAAAAGAGGATTAATGCCGATATCTGGTATTAAAGATCTTTTGAAGAAGTGAGAGGATGTCAGAATAACAGTCTTAGAATGGCATCCAAACCAGGTTGAGGTTAATAGGCTTGCAGATCTCTGCAATTACATTATTATTAATTACTTCTGAAAAATCCTGAAGAAGAGAGAAAAGCAATTGACATTGGATAGATTCTTTAACCCCAACAAACAGAAAAAACATGACTAATAAAAATGCAAGACTGTGTATATATGTATTTTTATTATTACACAAATAAACGTAGTAAGAAAGTATATATTTTTTATTTTTTGGAGTTTCCAGAACGAATTAATCAAATTCCCATAAAAACCTATGGTAAATCAATAATCGCTTAACATGACTAATTGGGAACATTACTACAATATATTCTGAAATTAATGATTTGAGTCCAAAATCTTGACTATTCACTATAATCTTGGGTTTTAGCTATTCAAATAGCTATTTTTAGAGAGAAATATACAAGAATTAAATTTTTCAAGTATTAGAATGTCAAATTAATCAATGTAATTAATTCAGAAAAATAAGTTTGGATAATTCTATTGGTTTTCTTAATATAAATGATCTAATGAAACATCTTTGCTAAGACAGTTCATATTTCATCATAAAAATTTTTTTTAAATACAGTAGAACCTCGATTATCCGGACTAATTGGGGATGAAGGTAGTCCGGATAAGGAAAAATCCGGATAATCGAAACGAATACTTTAATTTGTCTTTTAATGATAATACAACATGTTTTCTTTTCGATGACATATCGGTAATATTAAAAGTAAATACTGTAT